GGGGGAATGGGGATGGGGGAATGGGGAATTGAGACCCGGGGATGGGGAATTGGGGATGGGGGAATGGGGATGAGGAATCAAGGATGGGGACCCGGGGATGAGGAATCGGGGATGGGGACCCAGGGATGGGGGAATCAGGGATGGGGGAATGGGGACCCAAGGGATGGGTAACTCGGGGATGGGGACCCGGGGATGGGAAATTGGGGATGGGAGAATGGGGACCCCAGGGGTGGGGAAACTCAGGGATGGGAAACTCAGGGATGGAAAACTCAGGGATGGGAAACTCAGGGATGGAAAACTCAGGGATGGGGATAAAGGGATGGAAGAATCAGAGATGGGGACCCAGGCATGGGGAACTCAGGCATGGGAAACTCGGGGATGTGGGAGTGGGGAACTCAGGGATGGGGACCCAGGGATGGGGAAATCAGGGATGGGGGAATGGGGACCCCAGGGCTGTGGAAATGGGGGTCCCAGGGATGGGAATCCTGGGGATTTATGGATGGAGCCCCCAGGGTGGGGACCCCAGGGATGTAGGGAGGGGAACCCCAGGAATGGAGACCCCAGGATCAGGAATGGGGGGCCGGGGGGGGACACAGCTCAAGCTGGAGAGCTCAGGGATGGGGGTGAGGAATGGAGGGAGATGCAGGGATGGATCCCCCACATCACAATGGGTTCAGGGACCCCGGCTCAGGACACCGGGACCCCTGGGGAGGCAGGAGCAGCTCGGGGATCCCAGGGATGAGGGGCGAGGGGCCGGGGAGCAGCGAGGGGCCCCGGGGTTGGGGTTACCTGACCACAGGGTCCCGGCGGGGGCAGGCGGCGTCACCTCGTCGCTGTGCTGGATGCAGACGCGGCTGTCGATCTGGTAGAGCAGCGCCGGGCACAGCAGCGTGAACTGCTCCGGCGTCAGCTGCGCCGCCGAGTCCAGCCCGAAATTCAGCAGCAGCTGGCTCACGTTCAGGCACTGCGGGCCGGGGGCCGGCGCTGAGCGGCGCCGGGGGTCCCGGGGAGCACCGGCGGCTCCCCCGGGGCTCCCGGAGCGCGGCACGGCGCGACCCCCCCGTCCCCACTCACATCGTCGTGCGGGTGGTCGGCGCTGGAGTGCTCCAAGCCCAGCACCCTGCCCAGCAGCCTGAGGCTGGGCCGGTACTGCCGGGGGACCCCCGCAGCCCCGGGGGGCTCGGCGGGCACGGGCCGGGGCCAGCTCGGCGGCCGGGAGGGCGGGGGGCTGCGGGGAAGGGCGCTGTGAGCATCCCCGGCACGGCGCGGCCCGGGGCTCGGCGGAGGGGAGCCGCCGGTACCTGAGGGGCGCTCCGGTGCTCGGAGCCGCGTCGCCGCCGTGCTCCCGCAGCGGGTGCCGGTGGCGGTGCTTGTCCTCCTGCACCTCCAGCAGGTCCAGGTGGCTGACGTGGCCGTGGCCCAGCTCCTCGTGCTGGATCTGGACCACCTGCACCCTGCCCAGCCCCAGGCTGCCCAGCAGCCGCGCCAGCCCCTCGGAGGGCAGCGTGCCGTTCTGCCCGTACTGCCCGAAGAGCTGCCGCAGGTAGTAGCCGTGCTCCTGCTCCGCGTCCTCGGGGAGCCGCCCCGGGGTCCCCGCGGCGCCCCCGGGCCCCAAAAGCAGCAGCAGCCCCAGCAGGGCCGGGAGGAGCCCCGGGCGGCTCATGGGGCCGGATCCCGCGGCTGCAGCTGCGGGACAGCGATGTCGGGGTCACCGCGGGGCTGGGGAGGGTCCCCCGGGGCTGGGGAGGGTCCCCAGGGATGGGGAGGGTCCCCGGGGTTGGGGAGGGTCCCCCGGGGATGGGGAGGGTCCCCCGGGGCTGGGGAGGGTCACCGCGGGGCTGGGGAGGGTCTCCCGGGGCTGGGGAGGGTCCCCAGGGATGGGGAGGGTCCCCGGGACTGGGGAGGGTCTCCCGGGGCTGGGGAGGGTCACCGCGGGGCTGGGGAGGGTCCCCCGGGGTTGGGGAGGGTCCCCCGGGGATGGGGAGGGTCCCCCGGGACTGGGGAGGGTCCCCCGGGGCTGGGGAGGGTCCCCCGGGGATGGGGAGGGTCCCCCGGGACTGGGGAGGGTCACCGCGGGGCTGGGGAGGGTCCCCGGGGCTGGGGAGGGTCCCCCCGAGGATGGGGAGGGTCCCCCGGGACTGGGGAGGGTCCCCCGGGGCTGGGGAGGGTCTCCCGGGGATGGGGAGGGTCTCCCGGGACTGGGGAGGGTCCCCCGGGACTGGGGAGGGTCCCCGGGACTGGGGAGGGTCCCCCCGAGGATGGGGAGGGTCCCCAGGGACTGGGGAGGGTCCCCGGGGCTGGGGAGGGTCTCCCGGGGCTGGGGAGGGTCCCCGGGGATGGGGAGGGTCTCCCGGGGCTGGGGAGGGTCCCCCGAGGTTGGGGAGGGTCCCCCGAGACCGGGGAGGGTCCCCCGCGGGTGGGGAGGGTCCCCCGAGGTTCGGGAGGGTCTCCCCGCGGTTCGGGAGGGTCCCTCGAGGATGGGGAGGGTCCCCCGGGACTGGGGAGGGTCCCCGGGGATGGGGAGGGTCCCCCGGGGCTGGGGAGGGTCCCCGGGGATGGGGAGGGTCTCCCCGCGGTTCGGGAGGGTCTCCCCGCGGTTCGGGAGGGTCCCTCGAGGCTGGGGAGGGTCCCTCGAGGCTGGGGAGGGTCTCCCCGAGGTTCGGGAGGGTCTCCCCGCGGTTCGGGAGGGTCCCCCGGGGCTGGGGAGGGTCCCCCGGGGATGGGGAGGGTCCCTCGAGGATGGGGAGGGTCCCCGGGGATGGGGAGGGTCTCCCCGCGGTTCGGGAGGGTCCCTCGAGGCTGGGGAGGGTCCCCCGGGGCTGGGGAGGGTCTCCCCGCGGTTCGGGAGGTCCCCCCGGTGTGCCCCGGCCGTGCGGAACGCGGCGGGCGGCACCGGGCTCACCTCCCGGGACACGTGCGGCGCTCCGGGGCTCGGGAACACGCGTGGGGAGCGGGGCTGGGGCGGGGGAGGGCGCGGCCGCGGCGCCCCCCACACCGGGCGGCGGCGGGGAGGGACCGGGGGCTCACCGGGACCGGCGGGTGACCCTCGTCCTTGAGGCGAGGTCCTGCAACTGGCGCGGTCCCGCGGGGAGTTAATGTTTCACCGGGAGCGAGATAAACCCCCCCGGGAACCCCCCAGCCCCCCGCCAGCACCGGCGGGGACCGCGGGACCGAACCGGGCCGCCGCACCGCCCCCCCCGCTCCACGTGCGGCCACGCCGCGGCACCGGGGGAAGATCACGGGAGCCGCCGCCGCCCGCGGTGCCACCCGCGGTGCCGCCCGGTGCCCCACGCGTGTCCCCAACCTCCCCGGAGCCCACCCGGCTGCGCCCGGTGTTCCCCCCGCCCCACCCGCGGGACCGCCGTGGGGGCGGCGCTGGCACCCCC